AATTATGTCAGAGTAGTTCAAAGCCCTAAATGTGAGAACTCATCACAAGGTTTTTCTGGATGTGAAAAGCATAAGGCAAAAATGTAAAAATACCTAGTAAAATATATGCACTTCTCCAACGAGCACCAGCCTGCTATCACGGTCTAGAAAAAGAGGTAAGAGGAGCACAGCAAGCCCGTGTAAGAAGCACTCATCTCATCTTCAGAACTGAAAATGTCCTGGAAGAGTTCTGGGCCATGAAGCCGGCAGCTGACTGAAGCACCAACAAGTTGGCAGGTTGCGCCTGTGCTGGGCTGAGCAAATGACTGTTTTTCTTTTCTTTTCTTTTCTTTTCTTTTCTTTTCTTTTCTTTTCTTTTCTTTTCTTTCTTTCTTTCTTTCTTTCTTTCTTTCTTTCATTTATTTATGTATTTGCTTGGTACAGGGTCTCACTATGCAGCCTGGACAAATCGTGCTTCGCCACCTCAGCCCCCTCAGTGCTGGGATTACAGGTGTGCGCCACCATGCCCAGTGTCACTGGCAGGCATGGCACCCCATGCGGCACCGGGGATCTAGCGCTGGACCTCGCACTTGCCAGGCAGGAGCTTAGCCGCCAAGCTATTTCTCCTGCCCCCTTGCTTATTTATTTCACAAGGGTTGTTTTTGTTTTTTGGCACTTGCGGAACTTGCGCAGGAACGTGCACTGGCCAGGCAGGCACTTGTGCCACTGAGCTGTCTCCCTAGCCCCTCACACAGGCTCTGATGCCTGGCGTTCCCTTTGCAGTTCTGCTCTGAGTCAGTAAAGGAGAACTCCCTGTCCACTGAAGGCTTCATCTGAATTCCTCATACACATGAACCAGGGCACCAATTCCTGCTCATCAGAGAATCACAAAGTACGTGTCAAGGACACAAGCACTGTGAGATGGGAGAAAACGCTTGCAGATTACCTATCAGACAGAGAGGGAGGACACAGGATTGTCAAAAAACGCCTGCAACTCGAGAACATAAAACAAAACAACTTAAAATTGGGCAAAGAACTACAACAGAGATGATGTTCTTATTCAAAACTCTCTAATGATTAAGGAAATGCAAATAAAAACGACAAATATCACCTACTAGGGTGGCTGTTAGAAAAGCAAAGCAAATAGTAAGTGTTGGTGACAATGTGCAGAAAGCAGAACTTGGTGCAAGGCTGGGGATGTAAAGTGCCGTGGCTACTTCACAGCACCGCGCCTCGGTTCCTGCAAAGAGGAGAGCTGCAGTTACCGCGTGACTCAGCAGTTCCACCTCTACGTGTGCGAGAGGACTACTGACGGCCCGCTCTGAAGAGGCTTTGCACAACTGTGCTCACAGGGGCAGCGTTTGTCACGGTCAGGAGGTGGGAGCAATCGAATACTCGGTGGGTGGATGAATAAACAGATGTGTGTGTTCCTACGGGAGGCGGGTATCGTGCAGCCTCGGGGAAGAGCATTCTGCTTTGCGTGGCTGCCCGGGCGAACCCTGTGGCACCCGTGCGGAGTTCAGTGTACGAGGCCCACAGTGTCAAATGCTGTGTGATCCGCTTAGATGGCAGTTCTGAAGAAACAGAAAACAGAATATTTTGCAGGAGCAGGAGAAAAAGGAGCGGCGCTTAGTGAGAAGAGGGCTTTGAAAAAGTCACGGAGCTTGGTTGCTCGACGGTGTGAGTGCATTTGGCTCTTCTAAACTGTGCATTAGAAAGGTTCTCTATGCTCAATTTTATGTTAGGTGTTTACAATTCACAATTTAGAAAAATTCTCTAGGAAATTTGATGTAAATTTTGTCTAAGTGACTTGTATAACTTCACTAATCTAACATTAGGAAATCAGAAAATAATAAATAATATGGAGTATAAAGAACAAAAAACGAAATAAGAAACAGTAAATAAAAAACAGGAAAGCATAACTTGTGGTATTCAAAATGCTTAACACAGAAATACAAAGTTTTATAAGTGATGCTATTGTAATTGCTATTTTTATTATTAAATTTACTACTGTAATTTATCATAAATAAATTATAATGTTAGAATAATTAAATGAATAGTTTTGTTGTTCCAAATTCTGATTAAGAATCTGAAGCTACATATAACTTAGAGGGTTTTACATCTCAAATATAATTCGCTCTCATTTTTCCTGGGAGTCGCCAGTGTCCCCCCTCCCACATCTCTTCACTGAGGAGCTCGGCTGATTGTCACACTCTGCGTGGAGAAGTGAGAAGCAGAGAAGGCCGATGTGAGTGTCTTCTCTAACGAGTTCTGTGGCATCAGATGAGCCAGTGACTGAGCACCAGCACGCTAGCAGGCTGTGCCTGTGCTGGGCTGGGACACTGTGCCAGCCCCTTCTACCTATGTATTCCACACAGTAGCTGCTACAACGCGTGTACGTGGAAGTTCTGTTTTGCTTTGAGCCAGGAACAAAGAACTTAAACAATAAAGGTATAGCCCCTGTGAAGGAAGAAGTCTGCTACCCCAGACATAGAATCCCGACTCTGTACTTTGTGATTGTAAATTCCTCCTGACAGAACTCTTGGTAAAATCCTTCTCTGAATTCTGAACTGATTTTGAATAAAAATTAAATTCTAAATTTAACTTCTGTAGAAATTACAAACCTTTGGTGTCTAGACAAACAGAAGAATGGAACTTGTTTTGCAGATAAAGTATTTCAATCTGCACATCTTAAAAAATCACCACATCTTCTAAACTTGTGTTAGTAGCAGAGGAAAAGAATACAGCACTTATTGAATGATTGTATATTTAAAGAATACTTTCTAATACTTTATATTCTTTTTCCTGTTTTAAGTATTCTTAGGTCATTTAGCTAGAGAAATAAAGACTTAAAAGAATATGGAATTAATTAACAAAGCAGGGGCCGGGGGGATGGCTCAGTGGAATAAGCACTTGCCTGGCAAGCTCAGGGACCTGAGTTCAATCCCTGGTT